AAGCATTTGTGTATGAGTTTTGTTTGGAAATAGGTTTTCATTTCTCTTGGGTAAATACTGTAAATGAAATGGCTGGGTCATGAGGAGGATGTATGTTTCATAAGAAATTACCAAATGATTTTCCAAAGATGTTGAACCATTTTCTACTCCCGCTAGCAACGTATGAGAGTTCTGATGCTCCATAATCTCATTAAAAATGGGTATTGTCTACCTTTTAAATTTTAGCCATTTTGGTGTGTGTATAGTGCTACTATGATTTTAATTTGCATTTGAGCATCTTTTTACATGCTTATTGGCCATTTGTATATCTTTTGTGAAATGTCTATTCAAACTTTGGCCCATTAAAAAAATTTTATTTGTAGGCTGATAGCAAATAACTTTTCGAAAAGGAGTACAGAATTTGGGGAAATCTGTAAGTTGGACAGGGCAGGAGGGAAAACAAGACAAACAAGCAGCCTGAGAGAGCTGACAGGTTCATCGAGGTGTGGCCACAGTGCTTTTATTCAATGAGTTAGATAAAGCATGTAGACTAGTTCCCGGCACAGAATAAATGTTGATATTATTATTATTAACTTTAAAATTATATTATTAAATAATATTAAATATTACTATTTACTTTAACAGCAAAGGGAAGCCACTCAAGGATTTGAAGCTGGCGTATGAACTATGACAGTCAAATGTACATTTATAACCTTATCCTGGCTACTGTATAGGAAGACTTGAGAGAGGAGATTGGTGTGAATGGCTGTGAGAAGCCAAGAAGCCAGTGTAGTCATCTAACAGGATGTTAGAGCAGACACAGTGGGTCATCCGTAGCCTGTGGCTCAGTGGTGCCTGTAGCCCATGACTCAAAAGGTACATACCTTTGAGGATCTCTAAATTGTGCAAGATTGTATATATATAAAGCTACTTTTTCAGAAATTCTCATCTGTCCAGTTTGGAATATTCAGGGGAGCCAACTACTGAATCCACTGCTTGGTCTGCTGTGGAAGGCATTCAGTATTGACTATTAAATAGCTTGGAGTATCAGGAGGGCCAAGTTTTCAGAAAAGGCCCCCAAAGCCACCCCACAGCATGGGCCTCCACCAGAGCTGCTGCTTCTGCCTCAGTGAGGAAGCTGAGGAAGGAGGAAGCTACCCTATGATGCCCCTGTAGTTCTTCTAAAATCTCTTAGCAACTGACTGACAAAACGGGATGTGCAAATGAATGCCCAGAAAGCTAGCAACCAGGTACTAAGACCTTTAGCCACAGCCACCACTAAACATGTAAATGCCTCCAAGAGCATGCCTCACGATGCCACAGTCTGCCTTTGATTGGTAGAACCTTAAACACATTCAGAACCCTGGCTGCATAGAATTTAGCTCTGCAGTATAGGAAGGCTCACTAGAAGGATGTCGGAATGCGTCTTCTGAGCCCATCGACGGGATGCACCATGAAACTTAACTAAATTCACCCCGATGCTAGGCATTCAACAAAGGTTTACATTTTACCACCTCACAATACCAGCTGTGTACATTCGGGCACTACCAGAGCCTCAATAGCCTCCTTTATCAAGTTGGAGGTAATAATATTTGTCTTCAGAAGCTCTTGAGGAGATGAAGTTAAATATAATAACATGCGGAAGAACAGCAAGATGCTTGGCACGTGGCAGGCATTCTGTAATTGAGGCATCAGCTAATCAGTGAACACCATTCCATAACCCTATAGAGGAAACAGAATCCCTGAAAGATGGAGTTTAAATAGAGTGTACTGCTAAAGAGATTTAATGGCCCAAATAGAAGTGGCCCTTGTATCAGTCCCATGGAATTGGGGGAGCGTATTTGCCCCTGGAAAAGTAGGTGGGATTTGTGTGTGTGCTATTTCACGTGTTCATTTGTATTATTTTTTTCATTTTTGGTTAGTTTAATTTAAAAAAATAATGCAGCCACATAAATAATGAAAAGAAAATCCCCCTTTTCCAGTTTGTCAAGTTTCCTTCTTGAAATATCCTGTGCATATAAGCACACACATCATCTAGAGTCTTCCTTTTTTCTCCCCCCAAAATTGGGTCATATTATATGCCTCTTTTGCACCTGTATTTATTTATTTATTTATTTATCCACTACCTTGGAGACAATCCATTTCAGTTCATATAGAACCAATCACCTATTGATGGCAGCTAGTTGTTTGCATTCTTTTGCTTTTACAAAATTTGCTCTAACTAACATCCGTTCTTTTACGTAAATGACTATACATATAGAATCAATTTTAAGAAGTGGAAAGGCTAGGTCAAAGGTTAAGAACTGTGTGTAATTTTATTAATATTGCCAAATGGCTCTCCAAACACTTGTACCATGGTACGCTCTTTACTGATCCTGTATGAGCTGCATTTGTGCCAATATCCTTGCCAACAGTGTATCATCAACCCTTTCGATTTTTGCCAGTGAAATAAGGGAAGTGAAATAAGGGAGGTGATACCAGGGCAGATTAAGAGGAATCCTGCCAAGAGACAGAGGTGAGGGATTAATTAGAGGATAGGAGGTGAGGGAAGGTAGGATTTGAATATAAATTTAGAAGGGAAACTCATAACCTTCTGCTACTTACTATGTGCTAGACAGTGACTTGACTAGGCAGTGTACCTACTATTACATTCAATCCTTATCACCACACTAACCCATAAACACTATTATCCCCCATTAGACTCTGACGCCCAGTCTCTGTCCACTGTACCTCCTGTGTCCTTATTTCACAGTTGAGGAAACCAAGGCCCAAAGAGGTTAAGTGATGTATCCAAAATCCCAGAGCAAGTGAAGTCAGGACAAGGGTTCCACTTTCCAGCTCCGTGTACACTGCATTAGGCCAGCGTTCTGGTGTGTACCATTGAAGCCACAAAGGATCTGAATATTTCTTCAGGGTGTATCTCATCCACAGTTTGAGTTTAATAGTTGAGTTGAATTCAGTCATTTCCTATAGTCAAAGAGGTTCCGTAATAGTTGAGTGGACATGATCTTAAACATACTGGCACTTTTCACGTTGATAAAAAGTTCTTCCTCAGAGATTCTCTGTTCCTTTCCACAAAAACAACTGTATTTACTCAAGGAGCATTCTTTTTTTTTTTTCTGCGGTACGCGGGCCTCTCACTGTTGTGGCCTCTCCCGTTGCGGAGCACAGGCTCCAGACGCGCAGGCTCAGCAGCCATGGCTCATGGGCCCAGCCGCTCTGCGGCATGTGGGATCTTCCCGGACCGGGGCACAAACCCGTGTCCCCTGCATTGGCAGGCGGACTCTCAACCACTGCGCCACCAGGGAAGCCCCCAAGGAGCATTCTTGACAGAAACTACATGAGGTGAAAGCTCTAAGCTACTTGGGATTTTAAGATTTCTGATAGAGGATTATGCAGCCCTTCCTGGATTCTACCCCTACTCCTCTGGAATTTTAAAGTTGGCCTGTAAAACCCTCCTTGAAACACCCGTGGAGACTGGGAGTGGCACCTGTGCCCTCTTCCTCATTGTTTTCTACTGCTTCAGAGTCCAGAATCATTGAGATTAGGGTTTCAGCTAGGATTGCCTCATTTCCTACTTGTTTTCAGAGTCCAGGATCTCTTCTGTGTATATCTGGGCAGTTCCATTTGAATCAGAAATGGGAGACTTCAGACATTCAAATTTAATGAAGATAAGAAACATTCAATTAGAGCATGAAGTCCCAGTGAGGAGATGACTCTTAAATGGCACAGAAATTTGGTTGATCATCCTTATTGGAAGGGCGGGACGATGATTGAGAATGTGATGAAAAGATGGGAATAAAAAGTAAACCTTTTATCTGAAAAAATTAAGCTGGGGCAATGACTTTTTTCTCTTTTTTTTATTAATTAAGAAGGCCTAACTTTTGAATTGTCCTAATTGGAAAACATCTTGATGGTGGTCATTCCTTTAGGGTAGAGCAATGGCTCTGGAGGAATAGCCCTAAATGTTATTTGCCCAAGGCGAGTAAAGTGTCAGTGGTAAAGAATGGAATTTGACAGCTGTAGTGATCTGAGAAATGAACTGGCTTGAAGTCCAATTTTATAGATAATGAAACTGAGACATAGTAAGTATATGCGATTTAGCTAAGAAGGCACTTCTGGTGACCGTCAGCCGAAACTAGAACCAAGCTCTCCTGCCTTAGCTCATTGTATGGTTTAATTTCCATTATGTGATCCACATTTTACAATCTGCTGAAAGAATATGATTGTTTGGAATTGTGTTAGTTTGTTTTCTTAGAATGGACAGGGATTTATTTTTACAGCTATCCTAAACAGACCTGTTTTTAACTAAAGAAAGGGGTGCATAAATGAGAATACTAATTTGTTAAAGAAATGGTTAAGGTAAAGTCGATTGAACTATTGTCACACAGGAAGCTTAGCTGATAGGTAGGACGTGTGATCTTTGTTTTGTTTTAGAAATTGCCATTCATTCCACTTTTAGTTTTGCAACACATGAATAAGAGCTATGTATTTATACTGTCTACTGAAGTCAGGAAACAAACTAAGTAGTGTTTTCTTTGCGAATGATCAATTGCTTAGGACTTGTTTCAAATTAATGATATAAATAATCTAACAAGGTCTTTCATTGTACGCTTCTCGGAGCAAACAAAATGCGATGTGTTTTTATAACCAGATAGCTATTTGATATTTGTTTCTCTTTCATACATTTGGATATAGATTGATATAGAATTACTTAAAATGCTGCATATAAATTAAACACTAAAAGGGAGATATGGAGGGCCCAAGCTGCCCCATTATAATCTTTAGTTCCACGGTCACCGCCTCAAGGACACTCCATTTCATATCACATGTCTTTCTTTTGAAAAGTGATCACCAAGGTTCAAGTAACATTTAAGCATGGCCAGCAGCTGCATAATTTATGGACCTTTTCCTTTTTTTTTTTTTTTTGCTTTTGTGTTCTTATTTTAATGAAAAACCAGGAAAACAGAAGACTTTTCATACGTTAACTCTCTTATATCCTTTCCCTCCTGCCTTTGCAGATCGGGGCCCTGAAGGATTACTACCACTTCTATCACAGCAGGACGATTAAAAGGTCAGTTCTCTCAAGCAGAGGAACACACAGTTTCATTTCAATGGAACCAAAGGTAAGAAGAACCAGTTGGGTGGGGACCAAGAGGCAGAGCTTCTGCATTTTTCATTGGTAACATCACACTAGGAACTGGTGACCAGCACGAAAGCTTACATTTCAAGAGCTGTCATACTATCCTTTGGTCCAGTATCTTTGCTTCCTCTTGAGACCAAAAATAGGCAGTGGCTTGATTTTTTATTGAAGTGCCCTTATCATCCCAGTTGTAGAACAGCCCAGGGGTATCAGAAGTAGGAGTTGTCATGGAGAAATGAGAAGGAGTGTGTGTGGGGACAGATAGGGGTGGATTCAGAAGTATTGAAGTCTTAAGAAGACCATACCATCTGCCTATTTGCATACAGATCTGAGGTTCTATCTGAGCTCTGTAGAGCTCAGATAGGAGTCTCTTCCAGAACCCTTAGGTCAGGCCTCAGGTCACCACGAATCCTTGTAGTTTCAACGGGCATTAATAGAGCCATGCCACTGGTGGCCCAGGGACTAGACCATGGCCTAGACCATGTCTGAGACAGGAGGGATTCTGAGCACAGAAGGGACAGAAGCTGGCTGTGCTCCTCTTGGAAGCTCAACAGGGATCTTTCTTACACATTGTCTTGACCCCAATTGTTTTGGGTTGTACAGAAAGCATACTTCCAGGAGAACCTAGAAGGAGATATGTCATGTCTAGTTTCTCCCAATCCATTTTGGAGAGGCAGGACAGCTTTGAAATGGGAGATAGGAAGCTGGAGGGTGTAAGGGGCAAACAGGCTAATAACTGGCAACTAAAACTCTGAGGATGAGATAACCCTCTGTCCTTATTAAGTTGGAGGAAGGGATTGACTCTGACAGAGAACTGCTTGGCCTCCCAGATGTGACGAGTAAAGAGGGAGAGAGGACAGCAGTACCAGCCTGCCCTGGTTCCTCTGTGGATTCACTGTTTGTTATTTACTGATCAGGAAGGGTTGTCTTTTCCTCATTGTGGTTTGGGTTTATCATATGAGCTCATTTTCAAATAAATTGGTCAACAAGTCTCTACCAGTGAGCATGGCAGTCTCACCTAGAGATTCCTCGAAAATGATATTCCTTATTAAAGCAAAAAGGTCCATGTTTGAATTAATATGCAAATCAGTTTGGCCCTTTGGAGTCCTGTCCTTGGTTATGTGCCACAGTTCTCCTTGTTTAATTTTTGTCTGGAATATTATCACACAGTGTTCATGATTGTGAAATTGTATCTTGGTGGTTAGAAAAAGCACGTTTGTTGTAGGGCCCAATTTTCTGTGGATCATAGGAACATCCCCTGATACTTAACACTCCGGCAGCCTGTGGATTATATGTATATTTTCCCTTTATCTCTATTCAGAATTAAATGTTACTGGAAAAGCAATCTGTTAGGATGTTCTTGAATTAGCGAACTTTTCGAAGCAAAGTCACGTTTTTCATCTGTTAATGCTTTCCAAGCTTTCTTGAACTTTGGTAATTTAAATGATTTTAATTTCAGACCTCATGTGCATAGTCCATGTGAATTTTTTTTTTTTTTTGTGGTACGCGGGCCTCTCACTGTTGTGGCCTCTCCCGTCGTGGAGCACAGGCTCCGGACGCGCAGGCTCGGCAGCCATGGCTCACGGGCCCAGCCGCTCCGCGGCATGTGGGATCTTCCCGGACCGGGGCAC